GAATATGTTTTAGCAGGAGATAAGAGGGAGACACTGGAAGAAAGGGAGGATCAGAGAAGTCAGAATCAAACAGCGTTTATACACAATGTAGAAGATTAACCCCCCAGGTTCCACAGTGAGTACAACAAGCATGCTTTAGTAACACTTTATGTTCCTTGTGTGCATACATAAACATAAACAAAAACTAAACAAGTTGCATCCATTCTCTACTCTATCTCTTTTGCCTTTAGATAATTTGATAAAATAACTAGCTGTGTCTGGAAACCTATTTAGAAGGAAAATGATTCAGAGTTATCTAGTGCTATGGACAAAAAATATCTTGAAAAACTGAGCCAGCAGATAAAAATCAGGGACCTATTCTTTGGAAGATCACATGCATATTGCACGATGGAAAGGCCTTTGCACTGCAAAACCACATGTTGTAAACCATCGTTAAATCTGCTTTTCTATGTACATTTAGAGCAGCTGCCCTCAATTGACCAAAACCTGCTACAAGATAGAAATTGGAGTTTGGTTATTATTATAGGTTAAAGAACAAGTAGAACATTTGACAAAAAAGTGATGGAAGTATAGAAGCAGCAGCTTTCTGTTGTTGTATATTTTATTTTGTAGAAAAAGATGTGTGATACTGTGAAGGGAAAGAGCTGCCACAGGTCAGTTCTAATCAAGAAAAGGTAAAACTCGTGTGTGCAGTACAAAATGACACTGACTCATTTTTAAACGATATTACGTGAAAAAAATACAATGAGCAATTTTTTTCTAGTTTTGATTTGCAGGTCGGAAAGATCTTTTTTAATGAACAGAGACAATTCTATCAAATTTTTCATTTTTATAATATGTCATAGAGCTAGAAAAAAGACAAAGTTAGCTAAATTATTTGAAACCAAATGCTGGGCTCATTATTATCCTTTTACCCAGTGAAGACGCCCTGCAACTCTAAAAAAAAAAAAAAAAAACCTTTGCGCATACATTTTTTCCATGTGTTGTTATCCTCTTCGCCCTCTTCTGTACAAGTGCTGCAGACAGATGCAGTGATAGAGCATTAATATTATAATTCTGTATTATAATTCTATTTTTTTCTATTAGTATAAACACCCTTCAGCAACTACTGAGATTTTTTTGCAGTATACCAGTGGGTGATGATATACTATGACTCAAGAATTTTAGTTTGTGTTACTGTATCCATCTGTTTTCTCCAGTTCCTTTAAGAATTGCAGTGATCTACTGACCCCCTGGACTGGTATCAACCCTACTTGATGACTTCTCTGCCTGGCTACCCTATTTTCTCCTGAAATCTCCACAATCATTCACTGTGACTTCAACAGTCCTGTTAATACTAACACTCCTGCTACGTCTAAACTCCTAAGTCTAACGTCATCTTTTGACCTGAAGCAATGGATACATGCTTCTACTCTCCCTGACGGCAACATCCTTGACCCTTTTTTCTCCTGCCTATGCACTCCATGAAACCTCTTTAAAAATCCTTTTCCTCTCTCTGATCTATACCTTATTAGTTTCACACTCTCCCCTGTCTTCCAATCACCTAACAGTTGCCTGTGCAAACATTTGCCACCTTAACCCTTCTCTTATCTACTCTGCTACCGACCACAAAATTTCATCCCTGTCCTACCACAACCTAGGCATTTCTATCTACAACAGTTCACTCTCATCTTCCCCAGACACATTCGCCCCCCTCACTACACATAGAGTCAGGACCCAACCCCTATAACCTTGGCAAACAGATGACCCCAGAAGTCGCAAAAAATGTAGCCACACTCTTGAGCATCTGGGGCTTAAGGCTAAGTCTCAGAAAGATTTCAGCCAATATTAATCTATCCTCCAAAAATTAAAATTTTTGCCTCCACACTGTCAAACAGACCTATTTTATCACTCTTATTAACAACTTCTCATCCGGGCCCTATTAACTCTTCTCTACCTTCAACTCTCTACTTCATTCTCCACTGCCTCCACCCACTAACTCAGTCACTGCCCTGTAGATTGCTAATCACTTAAAAAATAAGACTGAATTAATTTGAGGTGAGATCTCCTCTGTACAGATACTATCCCCACTTAACACTTCATGACCACAGGTACAATTATTACTTTCCTCATTCAACTCCACTACTATAGATGAGATTGCAAAACCTTTTTCTAAAGCTCACCTGACCACCTGCCCCCTGGATCCTGTTTCCTTCCAAATACTATGGTAACCCTCTGGCTCTGTTCTACAATCTCTAACTCACATCCTCACTCTTTTCCTCTCTTCTGGCATCTTCCCTAATCCTAAAACATGCATTATTCACCCCCATACTTAAAGCCCTATTGGACCCCTACCAGTCTTAACAACCTACACTCCATTTCCTTGTTCCACTTTTCCTCCAAACTCCTTGAACAACTGGTCTAAAATTGACTGAGCGACCATCTCACTGAGAATAACCTTCTTGATCCCCTTCAGTCTGGAGTTTGCCCTCAACACTCCACAGAAACTGATCTCCTAAAACGTATAAGTGACCTGCAAATGGCTAAAACTAATGGACACTATTCTGTACTTTTACTCCTGGACCTCTCCACTGCCTTGGACACAATGGACAACCCCCGTTCTCCTAAAAAAAAATCCACTCCTTTGGTCTCCATGACTTTACTCTGTATGGGTTCTCATTCTATCTATTCTACAGCATCTTCAGGCTCACTTACAATTTTACTTCCTCCTCTCCTCTTCCTTTCTCTGTCTGGGTCCCCCAAGGTTCTGTTCTTGGATCTCTCCTATTCTTGATCTACACATCCTCCCTAGGAATCATACAGCAAATAGTGAGGAGGTTAAACGGTAATCACATGCTGGAAATCCAAGATGAGAATCATCCACTTAAAAAAGAGAAGGTGAACTTCCACAAAAACAATTCAAGATTGGGCTGGCTGCCCAAGTCCACCACCATAAGCTGAAACACTAGTTGGTGTACTTGTTCCCAAAACTTACAAATTTTTCATCAGTTCAAAAAGATAAGCAAGTAAGACCTTTCCTCTTGGCCACAATGGTAACAGAAGAGAGATACTTGTGGAAAGATTTTATAGAGAGTTATCAGGACATGATACCAGTGGCATAGAATCTTGCAGCGTTGCTTCTAATATTTGTTCGCAATGGAAGACGTGTGGGTGAACCATATGGCCATTCCACTTGGGCTGGAGAAAAAGTCAGCTGCAGATTTTGTTCTCCCTTTTTTATATCGGAAAAGATGAATCCTGCTGGAGATGAAAGACTCGCCTAAACATACATTTTTCAAACGCAGTAGGATCCCACAATGTTTGGTGGCGGCAAATTTCAGAAAGTGGTAAATCTGGTATTCCGGCCAGTTATCCATAGATGAGTCTAATGAAAAACGAATATCCTCTAGGAAGGGCCAGCTGGAAGATGAAAGAAAATGTAGAAGACAAATTAAATTTGCCCTCAAACTGAAGATTATCCAGATGCTTATTGGTGAAACCTGCGATGAACTCTAGATCTCTCAATACAGGGATCATGGGGATGGATGAGGAGGAGGTGTCTGGAAGGTGAAACTTAGAGGAGATCACTTTAATTGTAGCCCCAGTTCTTGGTTGTGCCCAGAGGAACTGCAAATGTAATGGCAGAAAATGTGCTCTGAAAATGTGATAGATCCAGGTTATGGTTAGATTAAATCCCTAAATATTTGAGATTATGAAAGGCCCAGAAAATAGCAAAAAATTGTTTCAGCCTGGTGACCCTGTCTTTGGCTAGAGGGATGTTGAGAGCTTCCAATTTGAAGTCATTATTCTGGTAGTTGTATAGAGCCCTAAACTGCTGGAATACATACATTTAATTGAGAAGAGTTACTTCTGGATTAGAATTGATAAAGAGAAGGTCATTCACATACCTCATGACCTTAAGATAGCCTAATTTACTGGATAGCCTCTGAATATTGTAATTGACCTGAATAGTACACAGTAAATGTCAACACAAACATTAGGGGTAACAATGGGCACCCCTGCCTGGCGCCCTTCAACAATTGGAAGTAATCCGAATGTGTCTCATTAACCCACACCATGGCCTGTGGAGAGGAGTAGAGGGCTGACACTTAGGAGTGCATATGAGATCTAAGGCCAATATATGAAAGGATCAATATGAAAGAATTGCCAGTTGACATGACTGAAAACCTTCTCCTCATTAATGGACAAGAGAATACGTATAGAATCTTAATCTAACCAAATGCATATGAAAATAATCCTTTTAGTATCGTCCCGTGCTTCCCATTGGGGAATGAACTCAACTTGATCGGGATGGACGATCGAAGCCAAATCAGGGAGCAGTCTATTGACAAGAATTTTGTAAAACAGTTTAAGGTCCACGTTGAGAAGGAAGACTGGTCTGTAACTGCCACACTGGGAAAAGTCCTTACCTTGTTTAGGTAGCTCCATGATATGGACCTTAAGGGACTCTGTGGGAAGAGAATAGAATTAACAGTTTGAAGAAAATAATGTTTGAGGCTATCACAGAAGGTTTTATAATATGAATATCAGGCCCAGGGGATTTACCAGGTTTGGTCGACAAAATAGCTGCAGGAAATTCTGAAGTGGGATCCTCTAAAGATACCCTATCCTCCAGCAACAAATGTGGAAGACCTGAGGCCTGCAAGAACGCATCTATAGCTAACTGTTTAGACCCTGTATCAAGAGTAGAGAAGGAGGGTCTTTTGCATGAAGCCCAATAGGATTGAAATTATGGATCTAGACCAGGGCTTAAAATTTCAAGTCTTGAGCTACTAGCTAGGCCTTAGAGTTACTCCCCACCAACAAACACACACAGAGACACAAGTACACACACACAGACATGTACATACACACACACATACACACACACACACAGAAACATGTACACACACGCACAGAGACACATGTACACACACGCACATACAGACACATGTATAAACACACGCAGGCACGTACAGACACGCATACACACAGACACATGTACATACACAGACAGACACATGTACATACATACACAGACACATGTACATACATACACACAAACACAGACACATGTACACACACACATACATGTACATACATGCAGACACAGGTACAGATACACACATGTACATACACACAGACACCTGTACAATTGTATATACATGCATACACACACACACACACACACACACATGTACACGTACACACACACACCAGCCCCCCCCCCCATAAAAAGTTGCAGTACTTCGTTGTTCACTCACAGATCCGGGTACTGCACTCTTGGGGGAGGAAGAGAGCACAGCATACACTCCTTGCTTTGCTTTCACTGCGCTCAGCTATTGAGCAGTCTTACAGCTCCCAGTGCCAATGACAGATCCAGCCTGAGCTCTGAGCCTGCTCAGCAAGATGGCCCCCGGGGACACACTCGCCCCCACCATAATTTCCACTCACCATTGGCGAGCAGGCGATTGGAAATTTCAAGCCCTGTTCTAGACGTTATACAGTCAGGTCCATAAATATTGGGACATTGACACAATTCTAACTTTTTTGGCTCTATACACCACCACAATGGATTTGAAATGAAACGAACAAGATGTGCTTTAACTGCAGACTGTCAGCTTTAGTTTGAGGGTATTTACATCCAAATCAGGTGAACGGTGTAGGAATTACAACAGTTTGCATATGTGCCTCCCACTTGTTAAGGGACCAAAAGTAATGGGACAATTGGCTTCTCAGCTGTTCCATGTCCAGGTGTGTGTTATTCCCTCATTATCCCAATTACGATGAGCAGATAAAAGGTCCAGAGTTCATTTCAAGTGTGCTATTTGCATTTGGAATCTGTTGCTGTCAACTCTCAAGATGAGATCCAAAGAGCTGTCACTATCAGTAAAGCAAGCCATCATTAGGCTCAAAAAAACAAAACAAACCTATCAGAGAGATAGCAAAAACATTAGGCGTGGCCAAAACAACTGTTTGGAACATTCTTAAAAAGAAGGAACGCACCAGTGAGCTCAGCAACACCAAAAGACCCGGAAGACCACAGAAAACAACTGTGGTGGATGACTGAAGAATTCTTTCCTGGTGAAGAAAACACCCTTCACAACAGTTGGCCAGATCAAGAACACTCTCCAGGAGGTAGGTTCACCACAAGATGTAAACCATTGGTGAGCCTCAAAAACAGGAAGGCCAGATTAGAGTTTGCCAAACGACATCTAAAAAAGCCTTCACAGTTCTGGAACAATATCCTATGGACAGATGTGCCCAAGATCAACTTGTACCAGAGTGATGGGTAGAGAAGAGTATGGAGAAGGAAAGGAACTGCTCATGATTGTAAGCATACCACCTCATCAGTGAAGCATGGTGGTGGTAGTGTCATGGCGTGGGCATGTATGGCTGCCGATGGAACTGGTTCTCTTGTATTTATTGATGATGTGACTGCTGACAAAAGCAGCAGGATGAATTCTGAAGTGTTTCGGGCAATATTATCTGCTCATATTCAGCCAAATGCTTCAGAACTCATTGGACGCCGCTTCACAGTGCAGATGGACAATGACCCAAAGCATACTGCAAAAGCAACCAAAGAGTTTTTTAAGGGAAAGAAGTGGAATGTTATGCAATGGCCAAGTCAATCACCTGGCCTGAATCCGATTGAGCATGCATTTCACTTGCTGAAGACAAAACTGAAGGGAAAATGCCCCAAGAACAAGCAGGAACTGAAGACAGTTGCAGTAGAGGCCTGGCAGAGCATCACCAGGGATGAAACCCAGCGTCTGGTGATGTCTATGTTTTCCAGACTTCAGGCTGTAATTGACTACAAAGGATTTGCAACCAAGTATTAAAAAGTGAAAGTTTGATTTATGATTATTATTCTGTCCCATTACTTTTGATCCCTTAACAAGTGGGAGGCACATATGCAAACTGTTGTAATTAATACACCGTTTACCTGATTTGGATGTAAATACCCTCAAATTAAAGCTGACAGTCTGCAGTTAAAGCACATCTTGTTCGTTGCATTTCAAATCCATTGTGGTGGTGTATAGAGCCAAAAATGTTAGCATTGTGTCGATGTCCCAATATTTATGGACCTGACTGTATGTTTGGCCCCTGATGGGGTCAAGATAGATGGGATACAGGTCTTTTGTTGTGGGCCCTGGAGAGCTCTCCCCAACATATGGCTGGACTTGTCCACAAATTTATAAAAAGACTGCTGTAACTTTACTAACTTCTGTTTGAGATCATCAAATAGGAGCAAATTTAAATTTCCCAGAAGGGCTAACAGTTCACGGTGCATCACAGAGGCAAGAATTTTTTTTCTTCAAATTCCAAATTTGGGTGTTGAGAGTCTGATGTTGGAGATATTGGGCTCCATTCACAAAAGTATCGTGCATGTGGTATTTAGGTGTCCAGACACATTTTGCCAAAATATAGTATGCAATCATAAAACTGTCTATTCACTATACGGTTTGGCGGTATTTACCACAAAACACTGAAAATGTTCAGTAAATATCGCATGCGTGGCAGTCCAAAATGGAGGAGACTGAGCTCCGCTGACCCTCAGCCTTCATGGCCCTCCTGCTCTGCTTCTACAGCATCCAGGAGAGCCCTCTCCTAGGTCAAGAAAATAGGAGTTCATATCCTTGGGAGCAGACATTATATTTATTCAGGAAACTCATTTCAAACAGGATGGCTCTTTTCGCTTTGCCTCTAAGAACTTTCCACAATCCTATTCAGCTTTTGACCCCTCCGTGAAAGCCGGAGTGGCTATTTTTATTCAAAACCATTGCTCCCTGTGGGTCTCCTCCTCCCGTGTTGACCCACTTGGTCTTATGTTTTACTGGAATGTATGTACAAGAGTTCCCGATTTGTACTTTTGAACTTGTATGCACCTAACTCTGGTCAGCTGCTATTTCTCTCTCAGACTTTAGATAAATTATGTTCCCTATCTACTTCATGCATGATTATTGAGGGGGATTTTAACCTGGTTATGTCTCCTCACAAGGATAGGAAGGTCCTCTTTGCATCTACTCCATCAAAAAGGCTATGCTCCTCCTCGACAGCCTTCCGTAAACTGATCCGGGAGCATCGCCTATTTGATGCCTGGTGGGTCAAACATTCTCTCCATAGGCAATTCACATTTTACTCTACACCACATCATGTATTTTCTCGATTAGATCATATTTTAGTCACCGCCCCCCTGCTCCCCTTTTGGTCTCCTCTGAGATCAACCCGATGACTTGGTCAAATCATGCCTCTCTGTCGCTTAATCTCCTTCTCCATAACTCCTCCCCTAGGGTCTGTTACTGGTGTCTCAATGAGAATTTCATGTGGGCAGACCACCTTTAGGAGGAAATCTCTCGGGGCCTGGACGCCTATTTTCTATACAACATTGGCTCAGTAGCTTCATATTCAACCCTCCGGGAGGCTCACAAAGCTGTCCTCAGAGGCCTTTGTATTTTCATGGGCACTCGTTTAAAGAAGGCCTCTGTTTGTACCAAACAATCTCTCTTTTAAGCCAACTATCCTTAGACGAAAGACGATTCGTCTATACCTCGGCTTTAGAAAGTGTCAAAATACGTGACCAAATTAGGAGCTGCACAGGTCTGCCCAGTCCCTTGCTTGGGCTAGGCAAAAATTCTATGAGTTTTCTAACAAAACCGCATCTCATGTTTGGAAATAGACTCAAATCTCTAATATCCCCCTTGCTGCCGAGTCACCTATTTCAGTCAGATGGCAATCCCACATATAATGGCTACTGTATTTGGAGAATATTTATGAGAAACTTTATAATTGCCTATCTCCTGATACCCACCCTCCACTTCAGATGGCTGCTTTTGATGCTTTTTTTGACTCCTTGGGGTTTATTTACTACAGCTGGAGAGTCCAAAATCAGACTCCCTTCTGCATAGAAACCAATCAGCTTCTAACCTCAGCTTGTTCAATGAAGCTTTGGCAATGAAACCTGGAATAATAAATCTCACCGGATTGCCCGTACTGTCCTTCTCTCTCCTCGATCTAGGGGGGGTCTGGGGGCCCCAGACATTGTCATACTATTTAGCTACTCACCTTCATGCTCTTGTCTCATGGTCCTCCCAGCGCCCTGCTAATACATGGGCCAAGATGGAATAGCTACAATTAAGTCCAATGCACCCTTGTTCTCTCCTCTGGTCTATGACCAACATTGAAACCTCGTCTCACAAACATCTCTTGCTTCTACTCATGCAGTTCACATTATCTATATGGAGGCGGTGTAGGGTTAAATTCTCCCTGTCTTCTCTGTGTTCCCCCTTGACCAATGTCATATTTAATCCCTGTGTCTACCAGATGGCCCGGCCTTGACCTGCGTGCACCCCTGAACTGAGGCCAATCTACTTCAGTTGCAACAATTGGTCATCCAGCGACTCATTAGCTTAAATCCTTCTCTGAGATTCAAAAAGCCACCCCACCAATATAATGTTTATCTACTGATACGTCATTTCTTTTCCTCCAAAGCCCCTTCTTTGACTCTTGAGAAGCCTACCCCCTTTGAACGTATCTGCATCCAAGGCCCATACCAACGAGGCATAATTTCCTCTACATATAAGCTGCTTCTAGATGCCTGCCCCCTTTCTATTGATAACCGCCTTTATATGTGTAAATGGCCCCGAATCCTCCAGTGTTACATTGCCTTGGATCAATGGAGCAGGATTTGGGAGGCTGCCTCCACATCTTCTATATGTGTAGTATATAAAGAAAATGCTTATAAAATTCTGATGTTTTGGTTTAGGACTCCTGAGGTTCTCCATGCTCGTAATCCAAATGTTTCTTCTGTCTGCTGGTGCTGTGGCGAGGAAACTGGCACTCTTCCACATTTTTTGGACATGCCAGTACATTTTACCCTTTTGGAGAGAGGTCTTTAACCTTCCACAGCTACTTTTGCAGACTCCTATTTCATTTGATCCCTTCCACTTTTTGTTGGGCCTACCCTTTTCAGGCCTCTCCAAATTTGCAAAGAAACGTTCTTTCCATGTTTTAACGGTGGCCAGGAGAACCATTCCCATGCATTGGCTTTCTACTGCGCCTCCTACGCTATCGGAATTGGTGAAGGTTATAGCAGAGATTAGAAAAATGGAGTACCTCACTGCTTTGAATGCTAACTTAGTTCCCACTTTTGAAGCAGTTTGAGAACCATGGGATACTTCCAATTCCGATTTGTCTACACAGTTGTCTGAAAATGATAGCTAATTCACTGTTATGTATTGACATTGTATGTATCTATGTAGCTCTCATCGATGAGCTTATTTCTCTGTTCTTTTGCTGCTCTGTGTTTTTTATATCGTGTTTCTATGCAACTCAGTTTGTTGGAAACATTTGAGAATCAATAAAAAGAAAATTATAAAAAAAATACAGCATGAACAAGTGTTAAACTCAATTCACAGAAGGAAATAAATAATTAAATGCATGCAGTAGTTAAGTAGTGGTCCAGGCATTAAATAACATGAAAAAAACAGCATGG